AAAAAAGAGGCCGTCCTGAAAGCCCAGAAAATGGCAGTTCCAACAAGGGTACAGGCACCAAGCTAGGCCTAATAGCCACGGACCTATATATCAGATTTTTAAACTGGTGCTTATCGCAGCCAAGCGCAGCGCGTCTCGCGTGCGTCGCCGACGAATCAGTATTTTTATTTCCTTTGATTGTCAAAAAACATCATAAAACTTTGTGGGAGCATTCATTTTGACCATACAAGCCAAAACTGTGAAGTTCTGAAAATTGGGGCCGTGTCTCCTTTTTAGAAAGTTTATTTGATTAACACATTTTTTAAATTAAATTTATGAATATTGCATACAAATTATAACGTCTCTTAAATTTTTACAAAAATTTGAAACACTCACTGTGTCTGGCAACTGTTCCAAAGCTACCCAAACCATCCGAAACACCTGAAGGTTCAAGCGTTCTTCTGAAACTTCCCGAAACCCAAGTTTCTGAAAAAGTTTCTTCGCATCATCAGTGCATAATGTTGATCAGCAAAATGGATAATGCTTTCTTATGCCTTGGTTACCTTGCAGCCTTCGACGCTCAGCTGCTTAGGCCGTGATAGACCTGCACATCCAGAATGGGCACCTACAGCAGGTGCTCGGGCACGTGGTGTCTTTCAAGCACCAGGGAGAGCAGGCGAGGCCCGGGGAACAGGCGACGCCCCAAGAACTGGCCAGGCCTGAACCACCCGAGCTGTTCCTGATGCCTCTCCGCAACATGGAACAGCTTAGTGCTGCAGAAGCGTAGCTGAAGAACTTCACCAACAGGAGACTGCCGGTATTTATGTGTCCTCTTTTTTACAATATTGACGGGTATAAGGCTGCGATTCTTACTTTGTGGTTTAACTTGGGCCTTTTACCGTAATATTTCAAATGGATGCCCACCCAAACTATGTTTTAAGCACAGTCGGTGGCAAATTAAAAATGAGTAAGTTGCGCTACCTTCATTACGGGCCTTCTGTTATTTATAACAGCAGAGTGCATGCACAGCCAATGCACAATGGAAGGCTATTTGTTGTAAGGGGTACCCTTAAACTGAACCCTGCAATAGAATTGTGTCAAGGTGACGCAACGCCAGTTGCACGTTTTGCAAGTCAGCTTTAGTAGCCTGCGTAAAGTTTTTGCAATTGTTAAACTGCGTTTCATAGAGGCTACTGAAGGGAGAAATGATAGACGGTGGCCACCAAAAATTAAATATTTGTGCATCATTACATTTTTGAACAGTTCTTTCCACCTGAAGGTCGTGTAGACGAGAGGCCTTCATATGCATCCTCATTGAATGGCATTTTAAGTCTTTTTCAACTGCCGCTTCTTGAAATATTTTAAAGTAAAACATTTCACAACGGGGGAAGTAAAATCGCCCAACACATTTGCCTTTGGGTGCTTACAATATGTCGGCCTGCAAATAATCATAAATCATGCTGATTTGCTACGACACTTCTGCCCGTTTTATCCTTAGAAGTTAAATTCCGCACCTGCAACAACTCTCGCCGTGAGTATGTGTGCGGAGCACGCACAAACCTGCCTGCGTGCTTTTTGTGTTTAATGCTTGCTTGACAGAAGGATCGAGATGCTGTAGTATATATTGGGCTTCTTTTGGTTTTGTTCCTGTTCTCACTTGAGGCTATAGTCTAGAGATGTAAATATTTAGGGCGATAAATTCATTTGTGCTTTCGGCATCTGCTACAGAAGTAAAGGTACATGCTTGAAAATAACTTTTAGCCTGGTCTAAAATCGCTTTTGAGTGTGCCCACCATATGCATATGCCCAAACAAATTTGTAAGGGGTTGCCAGATAAATCTTAATTAACTCCATCTTTACTTTATATTAGTAGTGCATTTCCAAAATGAGATGTTAACCAGTCCTAACCGAAGGTCACCCTATGAGAGGAAATCAAAATTTCCAAGGTGAAAGAGTAACTGTCATTGCATCTGCCACTTTATTCAGGGGGTGTGAGTGCATGCGCAGCTGTGTCTCCAGGCATAGCATACGGTAGTCGCACAAGCGATTATTACACGAGGCGAGCTTGAGCTGAGTAAGTTGGTTCATTGACCTACAGGGCCACCACTGAGTCAGCACTAAACAAAAATATGGAAAGATAACTACTCATACTGTGCTGCTGTTGCCATTTTTTGCAACTATGATGACGGTTTTGGTCAATTCCTGCCTTTTTATGCCTTTTTCAATTCCAGTCTTCGTAAAGTTGTAAAATGGGTGATAAATTTGCAGGGTGACTAGCCGGCAGCTAGACTAAGCTTTAACAAAGTCAAGATGTGCTGGGTCTTGAATGCATTGTTTTGAGAACCACATACATTATTAAAATTACCGAGTGGATGCTGATGGGCAAAGAGGATCCATCAAAACGTTTGCACAATTTGAATGTTGCAACGAATTTGACTGACTAATGAGATTTAGCGGAGTATGAAGGGAAATATTTTAATCTTTCTGGTTTCGTCTAAGACAGGTAGAGTTGCCATATATTCTAATATTTTTTATTCTCTCTCTAGTAAATATTGTAACCTTTTGATGCATGTATAGTGTGGCTTGCTGCATTTACCTGGGCATTCACATTCTCTTACTTGAGACATGTTCATACCATTGTATCTGCATATAAATAACTTCATTGACATATTGAGAACACATTTTGTCTTTCTAGGAGGAGCAGCTCGTGTCTCTAGGAGACAGCAAGAACCTGCAGAAGGTGGTGCGAGAGGTGGTGGGACGCCTGTTCTCAATGCAAGTCCAGGAGCAGTTCTCCGGCCCTTCTGGGCTACCAAGGAAAGTCAAGGTTCAAGGACGCCGTGATGTGTAAGGTGGTCATCGGTAATGCATATTCTTTACTAGCTATTAAATTGATGGTATCTCTATTGGAGCTCAATAGACAAGCACAATCTTTGAAATATGTTGACAATTAAAGGGAAACTGAAACACTTCTTGACAAAAAAACGAGTTATAGGTGACTTCTGGCACATTTTTGTCCTGTGAATCTGAATATCGCTTTCGTTTTCCCCGAAGGTGTAACTAGACGCGAGAAAACACGAAAAGCCTCAGAGCAGTCGTGACGTCGTACTAGGATCTTTGGGGCGCCAAGCATGTGTCGCTCGTGTGGGCGGCGCGTGCAATTGCAAGCTTGCCAGTTGTATTTTTCCACACTGACGCCAGTTGTGGCGTCTATTTCTGACCTTTTTACAAATTCAAGAGTTCACGTGCATAGGTTTGACAGGAGCTGAAGATGAGCGAGAGCAGAAATTCCGAAAACTCTCAGCATGACGTCACGCCCCGGGAAGGAGGGACTTCAGCTGTACTTTAGAAATTATTTTCTGCAGCCTCCATGCTCCAGATTGAAAAAATAAACTCTATATTCGTGATCCTGGAGGCCATATCAAGACGATTTTTGGTGTTCTTCCTCAAATACAGAACAGCTTCAGTTTCCCGTTAAGTCTTGCGATATGCAAAATTTAAATCGTAAATTCCTGTCGTTTTTTTTTTTTTTTAATTTGATTTGCATTTTTTATTATGAATATCTCCTGTGTTAGCATTCTCGGAACCTTCATACTGAAAAGCAGCGTTTTGAAGGAACTGTGAAAAAAGGTTTTTGTTGGTCTTGTCTTGTTATCCTGTTAGTTTCCAGGTTGAAAATCTAATGACGACCATTTAGAAGCCTTGGTCTGTAGAGTGTCAGTTGGAAGTTTTGCTCTTTTTTTAGCCACTCGTCTCTGCGCCCCACCCCTTCTCGCCCCCCGCCCCGTCTCGCCCCCCATTTCACATTAATAGGATGTTGCGTGAAATAGCCATATGCCTCCATAGAATCTGCACCTTAGCGTGGTAGCCAAACCCACAATCTCCACCTCTGTGGTGCTCTCTTTCTGTCACCTTTGAATTGCAGGCTAGGTGAGGGACCTATATTTACACAAAGGAAACGCTCACAAACTGCAGTGTGTGAACAGCACCTTCTGTGTAGCTAATATGCAAGATATTGGCTTCCCCTATCCCTCAACTAATCTGTGTGATCTGACAATTCTCTTTACAGGTGCCATACAAAGTTGCACTCGTGCAGAAGTGGCTGACGGGCAGGGAGGCGGGCAAGGGCAATAGAGTTAAAAAGACGGACACTCCACTGGTGGTTCCAACCGCCTTTGACGATGAGGGACACTCTGGCTGAGGAGCTAGCTGCTATGGATGCACGAGTCACAATAAAGAATGTCACGGTAAAAAAAATTTTGTATGTTCCCTTCTTGTACTACCCACAATATGCATCTGGGCGACAGATGAATGGGACATGTCGTCTCAACGAGTATACAATAATTGCCATGAGTATACTGTATACATGGAGAAAGTCAATTGTTCACACAGAATTGTTTCTTAAAATCGCACAAATACTAAACCGTTTTTTTTTTTTCAATTCAAGTCCGAAAAAGATGTTAAAAACGGTCAGCACCTATAAAAGATATGGAAACCAATAAAATAGTTCGGACTGAGAAATTTAGCATTTCTCATTTAAGTCAATTTGATCTACTGAGAAGTTAGCTGTTCAAAAATGCAGTAGGATGTCATTCCTGGGCTTTAAAGCCTGACACAGCTAGCATTCTGCTGGTTCTCTGCTGGGTACACTGAATGACGCATACGCTGGTGCTGATCCGCAATTTCTCGGGCACTGACCCGCAATTACGCTGGCACTGATCTGATTTTACGCTGGGACTAATCCGCAATTGGACTGGCTCTGACCCGGAAACACGCTGGCACACTGATGGTTTCCTACCGTACCACCGGTTCCATGCCGGGGATCTGTGTCGGGAGCTCGCTGGGAACATCCCGTATTCCCGGCATCCCGGTTTCCCAATAAGTTCCCGGTACCGGCCGGATTCCGGCATTGGGCCCGGCCGATGTCGCCCCTTGGGGCGTTTCCGGTACTGGCCGGTATCGGTATCCCGGCAGGCCAATACCGCCCCATCCCCAACCCGGCGTGTTGTGCTACTTGGGATAGCCGCGTTCCTGACGCCGCTGTAATTGGCGTCATCCGTTGCTGCAGCTACTTTCTCTCCCGTCAGACAAATTCCTCCGATTCTTCCAGAGATACCTGTAACTATTTTGTTTACACATCAGATATGCACTTACCGGGGAGAATACAGAATAATCTTTAAGATACACGATATCTCTTAAACAAATTTTGAAATTAACCAAAAAGGCAAAGATGTACGTTTCGATAATTCGTTTATTTGTGTTAACCAAAAAGCAGCAAAATGCGTGAACATGGTGTACCAAAAATAAACGTGCGGTAATAAAATCCGTAGCGCAGACAAAGTTTAAAAATGCCTGGCTAAAAGTGCATAAATTGGTACTATAACCACTTTTCAGGCGCCCAAGGTTCAGTTTCCCGTAAAATGTCGGACCCAACCTCCCAGGCAATTTATCTGGTGGCGCTAAACATACGTTGGTCAGAGGCACTAATTTCAGACAGACAGTTGATTAAAGGTTCTTCATTTTCTTACCCCAAGTAATGAGGACCAGGCCTAGTCGAACCTTGCACAGCTGCCTAAAGCTGACACGTCCAATGGGCCTTTTATACCGTTGAAGACTGTACACGTAAGCCTTGGCACATCAGGGTGTTTGATCTTGAACGGATACTGAACCGAAACTTGGAACTCGCAAAGCAAGGCTGGAACGATAGGCGGGACGCTGCCAAACCCAAAATCATAAAATATGTAGCGATATCTCTAAGGGATAGCCGCTGTTTTGGAAGACAAGTGCGGGATTGAACACGGCCGACGAGGCCGACGACACGCGGCACGTCAAGATTTTTATTCCCTCTCCTCTTCACGTCGTCCCTCCGAGCAGGTGAACCGAAGCGAAAAGGAGAGAAACGAGGCCGCTTCCCTTATTCTCAAATTCTTTAAGAGGATCGTGACGTCATAGTCTTCGCTTAATCGCGCCCTTCGTTTCCAAATACACGGCCATCCGTTTGAGATATCGATCTATGAGTGATGTTTTGGAGTTCGTAGCGTCCTCTTAAACGCTACTGCGGCCTTATTTTGCGAAATTCAAATTCCGGTTCCGCATCCCTTTAAATCGAAGTGCTTTTTTTTTAATAGACGGCGAAGTTAGGTTGGACGAGTTCTGTCATTACCATGTATCTATGAGGCTCGGCAGACTTCCAATGAGAGAAGACAGTCACCCTAGCGGACTAATTACCTAAAATTTCCTCATTAACTTTTTTAATTATTGATTCTTGGTATCATGTTGGAATTTCAGTACTGGTGGCAATAACTATAAGAGGCCAGACCAATTTAAAAAATTCGCGAAATGGATTTTTTTATATATTAATCAATCAATTTTCGCGTTTCTTCTCCCCATTTAAAAATTGCGCTAAAAAGGCATCGAGTAGACTTTTCACTATCACGGTTGGAACAGTGACATCTGCATTTAAAAATGTAGTCGCAATCTCGGCAGAATATCCTTTGTGGGTGAACCCACGAGACAAGTGACGACACCAAAACGACTACGTCACACTTCCAAGTGTTATTGTGGGCAGTGTTTATTCCGCTTTCTTGCACGTAATTTTTAAAGGGACACTCACAGGGTATTTATGCTCGCCGAGGTTTTTAGTTCTACGTGACATATGGGAGCCCAACTAGCCACGACGAAATTTGCGGTTCGAAATTCGGTTTCTTTCCGCCCGAAAACCGCCGATCAAGAACTGGCTGCATTGAGTCCCGCTCACTCTCTTTTCCGTAGTCACGGGACGCTTTCTAAGGTTTAGACACAACTACCAGATTTGATCAAAGTCGTACTTCATTGAAGGAACACACTCAATATTCAAAATAGAAAAAAAGACGAAACCCATTTTTGGCGGCTTCTAAAAAGCTGTAATTACGTTGATTAAAAAAATAGTTGGGCAGAGAGCCGGAAGCATTACCATGAAGAGGTCCCCAGTAAGTACAATTAAGAAAAAAAAAATCCCCCGCATTTCAGTGGAAAGATGTCGGCTTTACACGCAGCGGGCTCAGGTTCCATCCCTAACAGAGGCGTACTTGTATTTTTTTTTTACTAACAATTTTGCGGTGTTTATTATTATTTTTTTTTTTTTTTTGCTATCATCACAAAAAAAAAAAAATTGTTGCGGACGATGGGTCCCTGAATTAAATGGCATGAGATTCCCTCTTTGACACCCTCGAACTCAATGTATAGTCACTTTCCACAAAATGCAAGGAGCATATGAGTCGGGTAGCGCCCGCTTTCCGAGGTTCCCAAAACTGTTTTACAGAAATTGCAGCCAGCCATTGGTACCGATCCCGTTGATTTCGGAAACATGTGCAGACTCTGGCACACAATGCCACTTTTTTCGGACGCAGGACATGCGAAGCAGCTCTTCACGCAACATCTTGTGGGTATTCTTTTCGTAGCCGATCACGGGAATTCACCAGGGGCACTCACTCCTCATCTCCAACTCTTTAATGTACGAAACAACTCATCTTGAAGCGCAGAACACCGAGCGGAACAAACATAACTGCAAAGAAATCGCACGGCAAACAGTTCCCGCAATGTATGTCGTCTGCTACGCGCGGCAAAAGAAAAAAAAAAAAAAAAAAAAGAGACGGAAAAGAAAAAGAGCACGGTCGTGTGTAGCCACGTGACTTCCGGCACTCTCTCTCTTGTGTGCGCGGTTTCGGTTTCGGTTTCGGACAGTTGCGTTTTTTGGCTTTATTAAAAATATACGTTACTTTGTGCCAAAATATTAATTGAGTAGTCTTCCGAGACCATAATAAATCGTCCGGCAAACAATTAAAAAAAAAGTTAGGGGGTGCAAGTGTCCGCTCGTGAAGAACAATTACATTTTCGCAAGTTTATTAAATTGTTCTGGCCTGTAATGGTAATAGCCGTCAAAACTGCAATTCCAACAAGATCCCTAAAACCAATAACTAAAAAAGGAATTAGGATGTTTCAGAGAATTATTCAACTAACCGTGACCATCATCCCCTCAACTCATATCCGCAGAGCACGATAAATACATGGCAAAGACAGAACTCGTCTAACTTTCACCCCCTATCATTAAAAAAAACTACTGTTCAAATAAAATCACACACCCTGAATAGTTCTTTGTAACGTTCCAGTTATTTGTGATTATTTTAGTTATTTTTTATGATTAGTTGTTATTTTTTCATTTCATTTAAATATTGCATTTAATTTAATTTAGTATTAGTTTCATCTAATTTAGTTATTTTTTTACGTATTTACAAACATGGAGCTTTCATGCAATGCAAAGTATAATTAGAGCAAAAACAATATTAGTATGACATGTATGGAGCGAAATGCGGAAACAGGCTGAGTGTGCTCAGCAGACTGGTTGACGGCAATATCAAAATTTACAAAACGAATATATCAGGCACAATTTTATCAAATGCCTTCCACTGAATTGTGGACATATTGCTTCGAGAGGTTTGACATTTTAAAATAGAATAAAGCTTTGTATATGATGGTGTCTCAGCTTTATATGTGAAATTTAGCCAGTGCAGTACAACTGATAACCCGGGGACTTTAACGTGAATCATGCAGTAGTGACACACGACCGCACGCCGGTACGATGCTCATCCAGATCTAAGCGGGGAGGGGTAGGGATTGAACCGAGCATCCCTGGGTTCAGCAGCTCGACCTTCCGCTGCACGTGCTCCGAGCTGGAGAGCGCTAGCCGACTCGTCCACCGATCCCCCATTTTTATATTAATCAAATTAGTAAACTATGCAGTAGATCTCAATGTACCCTGAAAGTTTAACCCGTTAAATCTTTCTATGATGTCAGCGCACAAATGCTTCTTGTGATATTGCTTCTTTTGTTAATGTATATAAAATTTTAAATGAAAGGGTAGCTTCGAAGTGGCATTACCTGCTGCTATGTAAATATTCACATCCATATCTATCCGAGTGCTCCCGCGAAGACTTTCACGCAATTCTAAAAACAAGAGGTTGGAGATACAACAAAATCGTTTAGCCTTTCCACTTTGGTGATGAAGGAGGACCAGCGAAGCTGTAATATGGTGGCACGACCTCAAGGACGGCGTCCAGGACGACTTCTCGGACGACCTCGAGGACAACGCCTAAAGGACGACGCCTAAGACGACCTCAAGGACGTCAAGCACGACCTCAAGGACGACGCCAAGTACGACCTCACGGTCGACGCCAAGTACGACCTTACGGTCGACGTCTTGGAGAACCTCGAGAGCGACCTCACGGACGACTTCTAGGACGACCTCGAGAACGACGCCTAAAGGACGACGCCTAAGACGACCTCAAGGACGTCAAGCACGGCCTCAAGGACGACGCCAAGTACGACCTCACGGTCGACGTCTTGGAGAACCTCAAGAGCGACCTCAAGGACGACTTCTAGGACGACCTCGAGGACGACCTCAAGGACGGCGTCTAGGACGACCTCAAGGACGACTTCTAGGACGACACCTAGCGAAATTCACCCTTTCCACTCTGGCTAAAACCAGAGTGGAAAGGCTGGAAAGGTTGCCGCCATCTATGAGCGATGGTAGCAACCAGACACAGGCAAGCGGATATTCTAGTTGGCGCTGTCGCTCATAGATGGCGGTAGCTGTCCAGAGGTTTGCGTCGACATTCATTTGGTGACGGACACAAAACTGGGGAAACTAGCCCTGAACAGCTCGGCTGTAATAAAACGGTCAGGCGTCTGCACGCCTTCTATTGTCGCAGGTTCGTGTAGAAGAGTATAAGCGTGAAGTTCTGGTTCACTGTTCGACCGATGCTGAATTTGTCCCAAACTACAAGGCACGACTGGTATCGGCGAATGACATTAGAACAATAAAAAACACAATAAAATAAAAAGCTGGCGTCATCAAGAAGTGGAAGCCCAGTAATGGGCATTCAAACTGGCGGTTGAGCTGCATTGGCAAAGCGGTTGTCGATGCGGTTCCCGAGTTGCCCCGTTCAGAAACACTGTAACGCGGTGGGCGGTTTATCAGCGATCACGCGTGATATTTCGGGTCTTGCGTTCGGCAACCTTCTTTTATAGTCGAAAATATGGCTTAGTATACAATCCAAAGCCGAATTTAACCTACTCTGATACTGGAACTATTTCTCCGTGCTGTTCGCACGCATCGCGAGTTCAGGCAAAAGAAAATAAAATGCACGGAATCGCCAAACTGCGCCGACGATTGCAGTTTGCTCAAAAGCAAAGCCCAGGCCGGCCCGCCTTGTTGACTCCGAAGGAAATGCCCCAGACCCCCTTTTTTTAACTGGATCCTTCCCGTATTAATAGCTGACCTTGTTTTCGGAATAAGATGAGCAGCTCTTCCCCAGCGTCGTTCGATTTATAATCTCGGGATAGTGGGGGCATTGGTAGTGTGCGGTGATGGGCTCTCGTCACACGGCAATCGAGTATCCTCTTTGACACTGAACTAAAATAAACGCCGTATGGACTATCTACGTATCACATGGTATGTATACCTTGTTTCTTCAGTACGTGCACTTCATTCCTTTCGGTTGTAGGAACGCAACGAATTAGTTCGGTGCCCCGCCAGCTTCCCCATAATTTGTTGACTACGTAATTACGCTCACGACATCTAAACAATTTTCCGTTGTGGTCATGTACGGTGCAGAATGCAGGTGGTTTTCAGCTGTTTTTGTGACTGCCAAATTGCGTACAAAATTTGTCGCTTTGGGTGGTCGTAGGAGGGTTCCGATTTTAATGGGCAAGGATAAATAAGGCAACGCAGTGACAGGCATTCGCACCCCGATTAGCAAACAAGCAAGCTTATTTCATTTATTTCAACCTTAAAGGCCCAGTCGAAACCATCCAAGTGAAGCCAGTTAACATTTTAAAATGACAACGACTGGGCAGGCGAGCTGGCAACAATGAATCATAATGTGACACCTGAAACTGTGGTGCGGAAAAGTTAAGAAACTTTCAAGTCGAACAAATAGACACAAGTAGGGAAACGTGTCAATGACGTCCTGAGTAGAGCATTAAGACTCTTTCCTACTGGTTTTGTTTTCTTCGATTTTAAAATATTGTTATTTTCCCGCACCACATTTTCACGTGTTGAATTATGACTAAAATTATGAGCCGATTGTTTTTGTGGCGGATTCCACTGACGGAGGTAAACATCACGTTTCTTAGCTGATATATCTGCTCAAACAATAGGACTACAACGCTTAGGATGTCTAACCAGCGACCGCTGCCATCTTGAGTCGAAAGTCGGCGTCGTGTTGCGATTGGCTGCCGCTTCGCTGCTCGCGAACGCTTTCGGCAGAAGTCAACGTTTGGCAGAAGGCAGGAGCGGTCGACAAATACGCGCCCCAACCGCGCGATCTGAGGCACTTTGCGATTTAAAACGCAAGGATCCGCTTCCAGTCTGCACTGAGGACAATTTCATAGGGAAGAAAAAAAGGCTTGTTCCACTTGGTTTCAAGAAGTCTCCACACGTCGACCTAAGTAAAGGCTGGAATCATTAACTTGGTGAAGCATAGTAACTGTGCAACAACACTATTTCTACCAAGAGAGTCTGGAAACCTGTATTTGTTTTGCGACTTTAAGACCACCATCAACATTTTGGTCATGACCGACAATTATCTACTTCTATATATGAATTTAGTTTTTAGCATCCACCTATATTGTGTCTCAGACAACCGCGCCAGGAGGTTGTCGTTAGTGACACGATGGAGCAACGGGAGAAGTTACACAATCCATGTGCGAGTAAACCAGAGTCAATTTTAATAAAAGAGAAACTGTTTATAATGATGGATCAAGAGAACAAGCGTTTTATGCCGCATGTTTGATACTGTAGAGGCTTTTGATTTCTAATTCTTACATACTTCTTAAAGAAACGAGATGAGCGCTACTAAAGGAGTGCTGGATTTACCAGGTACTGATCATGCTTGACAGACATTAGATGAGGAAATAACTGTCAGGGTAAATTTACTAATTAAAAAATGTGTTAAATACATTTTTTAAATATTTGTTAGGGTTTTTGTTGCAAAATCAGTATTGAAGGCAATTACTTATCGAGGTCAAACGAATTTAAAGAATTTGCCAAAATCTAGAAGGTTTTTAGACACGATTTCCTCAATTCTAATGTTTTTTGTCCCATTTGAAATGAAAATTGCGCGAAAAAAGAAAGCCGCAAACCCAAAATAACGCTAAGAAGAGAGATATAGTTGTTCGAGTCATGTCGTCATTCGATTTGTCGGCGCAACCAGCTAGGACATGCTGCCAAGATAGTCACGTCATTATTGAAACGAGTGCGTCCCTCTTCCAAGTTTGAAGCGTCGCTGTGATCAAACCTTGCAGCGCTTTCTCTTTGCGCATAATTTTTAAATTGGGTCTAAAATTGAAAATTTCGAATTTTTAATATTAAAAACTATTCAATATTTAAAAATATATTCAAATTTATCTGACGTCTAAAAGTAATTACCCTCAATACTGCAATTGCAACATGACCCCTAAAACCAATCATTTAAAAGTAATTAAAAATTATGGATAATTAGTCAACCTACCATGATTATTATTCGCTTATCTGATGTCCAGCGGACGTGAAAAATACATTGTGACTATAGACTTCATCTAACACTCATCTCCTTTTTTTTCAAAAGCCTGTTTGGTTTAAAAGCAAACACCCTGTATTTACTATCCAATATGAAATCAAGAAACTAAACGCTACGGCTTTACTTTTCCCATCACTAACCGCCTAGTGTTTCCCGTACATGCGTGTGGCAGCAAGTGTGTCCGTTTCCATTTCAACCATAGAGCTGATTTTTAGTACCAGCGCTCGCAAAAACTGCCTGAAACTTTGCTTACCGGCTTGAGAATTTCCTGTTTTGTTTATAATTTGCTGCCTGTGAGAAAAGTCAAGTATTAAAATATTTCAAACGGACTTCTAGCTTTTCCATCTTCGTACGCAGACAATAAAAAAGTAAATGCAATATTATTTTTATTTTCCTAAGCAGAAAAAACAAAAAAAGCGACATCGCGCAATGTTCGCCGTTAATGAAGCTATATAAGATGAAAAAAAATTGCACTAACAACACGTTTTCTAGCCCCTATTCAGTTGTCCAAAAAGCAATGAGTTCAGTCGAGTTTAATTACTTCAAAAGTGCTCAAGAGAGCCCTGTACATGAGGGTCAAGAATCTTCCATAATGTACACAACAATAAAAATAAGAAGAAAACTCGAAAAAATAACACTATACACACTTCACAAAAATAAATCACATTTCACGGATTTTATTATTTTTTCACCTTTGTGGGCAATGTGCGTAGGCAATGAGTTGCAGTTGGCAATGGCAAGAGAGAATAGAGAGTTTTGACATTCTTTAGTTCTGAAGAACTAACGCGGAACTTTGAGGGGATGATCAAAGCGCTTGGAAATGTAAGATGGGTTCTGAAATTGGTGTTGGCTGCTAAACTCAGATGATGAAGAGTTTAAGTCTAGGTGTTTTTATAGCTGTTACACTCAAGGTATACGAGTAGTCATGAGTAACTTAAAGTGATGCTTTATTTTCTATCGATTCAAATGTATGATATGGTATGCTAGAGTGAACACCAGATGATGCTAGTGAATTCTAGTTTTGACCTGACTAAAGTCTTATATGAGGTCAGTTTTACAGTCTATGATGAGCGAAAAAGATTGCGTTTATGATGAGTCAATAACACCGTGTCCATGCATTGGACACGGTGTTATTGACGTGTTCATTCCAAGTGAGGTTCGCCGCAAACGTGAGTCCTAGGTACTTCTAAGTACTAACTTTCTCTCTGTCTCCGTCGTTGAGTGTATATTTCTTTTGTGATGAAGAGGGCCGGCTTGCAAATAATACATATTTAGCTTTATTGTTTTTTTTATGTTTAATTGCCATGTGTGAAATTATATTTAGACCCTGGTGTAATAAGTCTTGATCACCCGGCTTAGTGATAGGACGATAAATAACACAATCACCAGCGAATGTTCTTATGTGGGATGATAACTTGAGTGCGAGGTCGTTAATATATATTATAAATGAAAGTGGTACAAGGAGGCTGACCTGTGAAACCCCCGAATTCACTACTGATTTCGGAGTTTCTCTACCCAATGTACGTAGCTTGATTACGGCTACTGATGAAGTTAGCAATTCGTCGTATGATAACAGGATGAATGTTGACGTGATGTAGCTTATAGGGTAAACGTTTATGGGGCACGGTATTCAAGGATCTAGAACGTAGCGATTCGGTGTTTGATAACGGGTTGAATGTTGAGTTGATTTAGCTTATAGAGTAAACGCTTATGAGGCGCGGTATCAAAGGATCTAGCAAGTACGGATTTGCTGTATGATAACGGGATGAATGTTGAGTTGATTTAGCTTATAGAGTAAACGTCTATGGGGCGCGGTATCGAAGGATCTAGCAACTAGCGATTCGGTGCATGATAACGGGATGAATGTTGAGTTGATCTAGCTTAGAGAGTGAACGCTTATGGGGCGCGGTATCGAAGGATCTAACAAGTAGCGATTCGCTGTATGATGATGGGATGAATGTTGAGTTGAGTTAGCTTATAGAGTAAACGTTTATGGGGCACGTTATCGAAGGATCTAGCAAGTAGTGATTCGCTGTATGATAACGGGATGAATGTTGAGTTGAGTTAGCTTATAGAGTAAACGTTTATGGGGCACGTTATCGAAGGATCTAGCAAGTAGTGATTCGCTGTATGATAACGGGATGAATGTTGAGTTGAGTTAGCTTATAGAGTAAACGTTTATGGGGCACGTTAACGAAGGATCTAGCAAGTGGTGATTCGCTGTACGATAACGGGATGAATGTTGGGTTGATTTAGCTTATAGAGTAAACGTTTATGGGGCACGTTATCGAAGGATCTAGCAAGTAGTCATTCGCTGTACGATAACGGGATGAATATTGAGTTGATTTAGCTTATAGAGTAAACGTTTATGGGGCACGTTATCGAAGGATCTAGCAAGTAGTGATTCGCTGTATGATAACGGGATGAATGTTGAGTTGAGTTAGCTTATAGAGTAAACGTTTATGGGGCACGTTATCGAAGGATCTAGCAAGTAGTCATTCGCTGTACGATAACGGGATGAATGTTGAGTTGATTTAGCTTATAGAGTAAACGTTTATGGGGCACGTTATCGAAGGATCTAGCAAGTAGCGATTCGCTGTTTGATAACGGGATAAATGTTGAGTTGATTTAGCTTATAGAGTAAACGTTTATGGGGCACGTTAACGAAGGATCTAGCAAGTGGTGATTCGCTGTACGATAACGGGATGAATGTTGGGTTGATTTAGCTTATAGAGTAAACGTTTATGGGGCACGTTATCGAAGGATCTAGCAAGGAGTCATTCGCTGTACGATAACGGGATGAATGTTGAGTTGATTTAGCTTATAGAGTAAACGTTTATGGGGCACGTTATCGAAGGATCTAGCAAGTAGCGATTCGCTGTTTGATAACGGGATAAATGTTGAGTTGATTTAGCTTATAGAGTAAACGTTTATGGGGCACGTTAACGAAGGATCTAGCAAGTAGTGATTCGCTGTACGATAACGGGATGAATGTTGAGTTGATTTAGCTTATAGAATAAATGTGTATGGGGCACGTTATCGAAGGATCTAGCAAGTAGTCATTCGCTGTACGATAACAGGATGAATGTTGAGTTGATTTAGCCTATAGAGTAAACGTTTATGGGGAACGTTATCGAAGGATCTAGCAAGTAGCGATTCGCTGTATGATAACGGGATGAATGTTAAGTTCAGTTAGCTTATAGAGTAAACGTTTATGGGGCACGTTATCGAGGGATCTAGCAAGTAGTGATTCGCTGTTTGGTAACGGGATGAATGTTGAGTTGATTTAGCTTATAGAGTAAAAGTTTATGGGGTGCGGTATCAAAGGATCCAGCATGTAGCGATTCCCTGTTTGACAACGGGATGAATGTTGAGTTGATTTAGCTTCTAGTGTAAACGTTCATGGGGCGCGGTATCGAAGGATCTAGCAAGTAGTGATTCGCTGTACGATAACGGGATGAATGTTGAGTTGATTTAGCTTATAGAGTAAACGTTTATGGGGGCACGTTATCGAAGGATCTAGCAAGTAGGGATTCGCTGTATGATAACGGGATGAACGTTTAGTTGAGTTAGCTTATAGAGTGAACGTTTATGGGGCACGTTATCGAAGGATCTAGCAAGTAGTGATTCGCTGTACGATAACGGGATGAATGTTGAGTTGATTTAGCTTATAGAGTAAACGTTAATGGGGCACGTTATCGAAGGATCTAGCAAGTAGCGATTCGCTGTATGATAACGGGATGAATGTTAAGTTCAGTTAGCTTATAGAGTAAACGTTTATGGGGCACGTTATCGAGGGATCCAGCAAGTAGTGATTCGCTGTTTGATAACGGGATGAATGTTGAGTTGGTTTAGCTTATAGAGTAAAAGCTTATAGGGCGCGGTATCGAAGGATCCAGCATGTAGCGATTCCCTGTTTGACAACGGGATAAATGTTGAGTTGATTTAGCTTCTAGTGTAAACGTTCATGGGGCGCGGTATCGAAGGATCTAGCAAGTAGTGATTCGCTGTACGATAACGGGATGAATGTCGAGTTGATTTAGCTTATAGAGTAAACGTTTATGTGGGCAAGTTATCGAAGGATATAGCAAGTAGTGATTCGCTGTACGATAACGGGATGAATGTTGAGTTGATTTAGCTTATAGAGTAAACGTTTACGGGGCACGTTATCGAAGGATCTAGCAAGTAGTGATTCGCTGTACGATAACGGGATGAATGTTGAGTTGATTTAGCTTATAGAGTAAACGTTTATGGGGCACGTTATCGAAGGATCTAGCAAGTGGCGATTCGCTCTATGATAACGGGATGAATGTTGAGTTGATTTAACTTATAGAGTAAAAGTTTATGGGGCGCGGTATCGAAGGATCTAGCATGTAGCGATTCCCTGTTTACAACGGGATGAATGTTGAGTTGATTTAGCTTCTAGAGTAACCGTTCATGAGGTGCGGTATCGAAGGATCTAGCAACTGGGGATCCGCTGTATGATAACGGCATGAATGTTGAGTTGATTTAGCTTATAGAGTAAACGCTTGTAGGGCACGGTATTGAAGGATCTAGCAAGTAGTGATTCGCTGTATGATAACGGGATGAATGTTGAGTTGATTTAGCTTATAGAGTAAACATTTATGGGGCACGGTATCGAAGGATCTAGCATGTAGCATTTCGCTGTACGATAACGGGATGAATGTTGAGTTGATTTAGCTTATAGAGTAAACATTTATGGGGCACGTTATCGAAGGATCTAGCAAGTAGTGATTCGCTGTATGTTAACGGGATGAATGTTGAGTTGAGTTAGCTTATAAAGTAAACATTTATGGGGCACGGTATCGAAGGATATAGGAAGTTTCGATTTGTTGTATTATAACGGGATGAATGTTGAGTTGATTTAGCTTATAGAGTAAACGTTTATGGGGCGCGGTATTGAAGGATCTAGCAAGTAGTCATTCGCTGTACGATAACGGGATGAATGTTGAGTTGATTTAGCTTATAGAGTAAACGTTTATGGGGCACGTTATCGAAGGATGTAGCAAGTAGCGATTCGCTGTTTGATAACGGGATAAATGTTGAGTTGATTTAGCTTATAGAGTAAACGTTTATGGGGCACGTTAACGAAGGATCTAGCAAGTGGTGATTCGCTGTACGATAACGGGATGAATGTTGGGTTGATTTAGCTTATAGAGTAAACGTTTATGGGGCACGTTATTGAAGGATCTAGCAAGGAGTCATTCGCTGTACGATAACGGGATGAATGTTGAGTTGATTTAGCTTATAGAGTAAACGTTTATGGGGCA